AAAAAAAGAAAGAAAAATAAAAAAGAAAAGAGCGGAATCGAAATTCATATGAAAGAATGGAAGTTTGTCAAGCTAATTTGGTTCCAGGATGATAAAACAAAAGGGGACATTGCATCCTGCTACCCGGTGGGAAAGCACGAGTTATCGGGAGATAGCTAAATTTACCGCTAGGAACAAGGGGAGAGCGTTAAAGTAAACGTGATGTCCCCTTTTTTATTTGATGCGGAAAAAAAACTGACCAACACCTTAATCCACCTTTATTTACCATAACTTCCGTGAATGATTGTTGAATATCAAAATAAGGCACCGTTCATAACTTTTCATTTGAAAGTTAGTTTTACCTAATCCCCCCCGAAAAAAAAAATAAATAAAAAAGCGGAATCTTAATTCATATGAAAGGATGGAAGTTTGTCTAGCTAATTTGGTTCCAGGACGATAAAACAAAAGGGGACATTGCATCCTGATTACCCGGTGGGAAAACACGAGTTATCGGGAGATAGCTAAATTTACCGCTAGGAATAAGGGGAAAGTGTTAAAGTAAACGTGATTTCCCCTTTTTATTTGACGCGGAAAAAAAACTGACCGACGCTTTAATCATGGCAGTACCTTGACAATGATTTCTGTGTGATAGATAACTGCAACTTAATTGCAAAACAATCCAGCAATCAATTAAGCAGACCAGAAATATATCGAAAGTTGTTGACATGGCGGATTTTTCAACTCACAAAGATACTTAAATCGCTCTCTAAAAAAAACTTGTATTAATCTTAGAGATCTGAATATGAAAAAAAAAAACATGATATTCTACAGGAGACAGATGTTCTTCGTCTTGTCACAAACGCGGAACGAGGAAAACATTCTGAGTACCCATGAGGAATCGAACGCCAGGCCTTCAAATTCGGCGCTACGATGCTCTCTCCCACAGCTTAGGAGAACTCTCTAATGCACTAGGTAAGGCTTTTCTTAGTGCATATGTGTGAGTCGGTCCGTATCACGGTTTCGAGGGGGTAAATCGAAGAGGAAAGATTGCAAATTTTTAGATCGATAATGAAATAAAGGAAAACGTTTCTCGTCTTGCTGCGAGCATGGGACAAAGAAAAAAATACGTGTAAGAAACGTGCCGTCACGTCTCATGGATCATCTATTGCCGTTTCCCACAAGCAAAATCCAAATGATTAACTCTTGATGTCACTAAATAAAGAATTACCCGGACAAGATAAGCAAAACAAAGGTTTCAAAACATCTGTTGGTCTTCGTCGTAAAACAAATAATGTAAACATTACCATTTAGCGAGGTGAGAGCACGCGAAAATGTCAAGAGAAATTAACGACCAAAACAATAGTATTTTATTTTTGTTCTAAATTAAATTGACCTGGAGCAGTTCGTGAGGCAGCATTTCGGATGACTCTAACTGTTGTGGAGTTCAGGGTAGCCTTTTTCTAATTCCGTTTGTTCAGTGGAACGTGCTCATCGAAAAATTTACGTTCGTAAACTTTTTTCCGCAATCGGTAATTAGTGGACCTCTCCGTAGGAAGTCAGTCGATTAATTTCCGCGTTAGACCTGTTTTTCTGTTATTGAACGGAGTCTTCTAAATAAGAAAAAAATCCAAAATCCGTCGATCTGGGATTTTTCTGCAAAGCAAAGCTTACAATTTCAAAATGCGAAAATTGACGAGAGGGAAATACGTTTTCTATTTTGATGTAATTTGCGACAACGACCACGAAAATGCAGACATATTTTTTTTTCAACGAATGCAGATAATACAGATGCAATTACCTAACATCAGTTAAGATTTACACAAAC